TAGAGAATGGCCCATGAAGACCATACTGTCCTCTTACTGAGTGTCCCTCCAGGTCAGAGCTGAATCATATTAGCAGAGAGGTACAAGAATACTCATTATTACCCGGTCATGAGTTATTGCCTTCTCCTATCTGGCACTTTTCATCAGCACCACTATACTTCAATTAAAAAAAATCATTCAGCTGCATTGATTGTTTTGTATTTGAGTCAGATGTCTCAGGATCTCTCATTTTGCTGCTCTTATACTCTTGTTGTCTACTGCCTACTTTAGCCCAATGAGTAATAGACAGGGACTTCCTGTGGAGTCCATCAGCAGTGCTCTCACTTCCTCTTCTCCAGCCTCCATAATGACTCTCCCCAGGGAAGAGAGTTGGATTTACACCTAATGCTGCTACCTTAGACTAGCAGTGCCATTGGGCCAGTAAGATTAACATTTAACGCTCAACATTTCCACCTGTAAAATAAACTTTTTCCAGAGGACAGTGCTATTCCTATTAAGTTCTGCAATAATCCCCATTACAGGTATGTTCTCACATTGTTGTTCACCAAGATTTTAGAAAGGTTTCATTTGTGGTGTTATATTTAACTAGAAAAGTTAATACAAAATAGCATGTTTCCTTTGTATCCAAATACAATAAATGAGCATTTCGTGACTAGTGATTTTGAACAGTATGCTGCCAATAATTAAACTAAGACGTTTAGACTTCATATGGGACCCTATCATGATTCTCTTCTCCTCAAAACATATATTGGTTTTGTCGAGATATTTTTACTTAGTCTCCTAGGAGGCATTCCAGTGATGGCTCAATCTAGCACACAAGTCCAGACAGTCTGGCTCCAATTTATACCCTCTACTAACGTAACTAAAAGCATTGGTATTTTTGCTAGAGAGAAGTGCTGTAGCTGATCGTGACTCCATTGCGTACTAGTATTATCTGGCTACAGAGCTGCTTGGTGGTGTTTTTTTAATGCATCTACATATCTGTGGAAAGGGATCCAATTTTATTTTCTAATACATGGAATAACAGTGTGAGAGGGGGTTCACTCACCACCGTAGCGGGGGTCTGCCGTCTGCCAGCAGAAGGAGCTGATTCCGGAGGCAGAGTACCTTGCCCTCTTTCCTCCAGGCCGTGTTGTCCTCTTCACCACACTGCCCTCCGGCAGTGCCCAAGTCCGTCTCTGAGCCCCCCTTCCGGGGGTTGTTGTTTCTCCACCGGGCCGTTATGCAGGCCCTGCAGTCTGGGGGTTTGTTTGGCTAGAGCTCCCCTTGCCCTGCCCTGCCCTGCCCTGCCCTGCCCTGCCCTGCCCTGCCCTGCCTTGCCTTGCCCTGCCTTGCCTTGCCTCCCCAGCCCTGCTCTAGCTCCAGGGAGCCTCCTGCTTCCCCAGCAGCCAGGCCCTCACTGACCTTCCTTCTGGGAGCCGCCACCCAGGTTCTTATATAGCCCCCAGCTGGGCCCTCATCCCCTAATTCAGCCCCAGCTGGGGTTTGCCCTTAAAGGGCCAGTGCAGGGCGAATGCCTTGTCACACAGAATATATTAGCAAAAAGTTCGATCTGCCTTATTAAATTTCTCTTATAGCTACATTGTGTATGACTACGGGAGGAGTCTTTTTGCTTCTTCTCTCCTTAAATATCTTGCTTGCTTTTCATATTTTTTCTCTTGTCCGGTTTTAATTTATATTCTAACATATGAGTCTGTGTTCCCAGGATCAAGTTAAGAGACAAAGTGAACATTAGGTTATTCCTCCACATTTTGAAATCTTTTAAACTGACCAAAGTACATGAGTGCTTTTTACTCCTTCCTGATTCTCATTTCTTTGTGTGTGCAGTGACAAATTTAATTAGGAAGTACTGGAATTTGGTCACCAACATTTGTTAAAAAGTTGCATTATGGAATTTGGCAAGTTTGCTTAAGGAGGCCAGGTTCTCTCCTGAAGGGTTCAGCAAATCTGCCCTGACAAAATTGTATTATTCTGAGATAAAAAACTGAATATGTGAGAAGCTGGAAAAGAGGTATCTTAATTTTGTTTTTACTATTATTATATACCAAATTCAGCATAATGTTACATAATATTTTATGCAGTATGTTGTAGCCATGTCGGTCCAAGGAAAATAGATTACAGATTATTTTAATAAACCATAAATCTACAGTCTGTATTTAGTCCATTATTGTTAGTGCCTAGCTATCTTATGAATTGAAGCTCTCAGGGTTCTCTTTTGAAAGAGTTGTGCAGGCTTCTTTGAGGATGAGGAGTGAGAGGTCAGAAATGGAGTTATGGCTTTGTGAAAAGTGTCTCTCTTCCCCGCCTCTCCCCCCCCTCCCCCCTTCCATAACAGGATCTTTATTTTCTTGTGTGAGTTCATTTAAGGGTATAAAAGTGATTGGTTTCACCCATACAGTTGCTATTAGGTCACTGGATGTGGTACACCACACGATGTGACAGGCATGTGTCTCATTTAGACAATTACACTATTTTCTCTCTTCCAATAAAACGTAACTGGATTATGATGCAGTCATTTACAGTGTATTTCCACGATTAAGTCCAGTTCCACAGAGAAAGGAGAAAACAAGTAAAAAGGCCAAAGACCCCCATCTTGCAAGCAGTTATGCTCCTAACTGTAGGCCCATTGACAGAAATGAGTCTACCGTATGTGAGTAAAGTTATGCATGGGCATAAACCTTGCAAGATTGAAGTCAATCATCATACTGCAAAAATAAGAGTTGTGAATTTCATATTTGGGGGAGAGGGGAAATTCTCTTAACATTCACTGAAAAGGATTTTCAAGAGCTTAGTGAAGAAAAAAATCGATGTTTGATACATTAAGTCAATTTGTTCTTGTCTAGAACTATTAGTCTGCTACATGACAGTGATTAACAGCCAGTGGTTACTCCTTGAAGGCAGCACGGCCTAGTGAGGGAGACATGGATTTCTTATTGGCTCAAGGTTCTGTCCCCAGTTCTCCTATAGACATCCCATGTAACCTTTGGCAAATCACTAAACCCATGTTTCTCTGTTACCTTCCCTGGAAAAAAGACGTGAGCACTTGCTATACTTTTCACGCAAGTACTCATTATCCAAAAGGCCATTTTTGTGGAGAATTCAGGAACAAGCCATTTTACAAGGTACTGAGGTTTCTTTTTCTTTTAGAAAAATAAGTTGGGCCAGTTCAGAAGTCAGCATGAAAATACTGGAGTTGAATAGCAAAACTGGCAGAGAACTGGGTCTCATTACTAGTTAATGGCAATTTCTCAAACACTCCACTCTTCTTGCCCTTGAAATCTGCTTCTTGCCTGGGCCAGTTCCAAAGTATGTTTGTTGCAAATGTTGCCATTTAGTTTTAAGTGCTTCAGAGCAGGAACCCTTTTTTACTCTGTCTGCCAAGTGCCCACCACAATGGTGGCCAGAGCCTGATTTATCAACAAAAATTTTGCCATACAAGTACAGGCAGTCCCCGGGTTACATGGATCCGACTTACATCGGATCCCTACTTACAAACGGGGTGAGGCAACTCCGCACTAGCTGCTTCCCCTCAGCAGACCAAGGAGACACGAAGCTAGCGCCTCCCCCAGCAGACCAGGGAGACGCGGAGCAGCTTTTCTCAGCAGACACCTCAGCTTGAGAATAAAGGACTGAGGGAAGTGAGGTGTGGGAGAATAAAACTGAGCTCTGGAGAAATGTTTGGCTAGAGTTTCCCCTACAATATGTACCAGTTCCGACTTACATACAAATTCAACTTAAGAACAAACCTACAGTCCCTATCTTGTACGTAACCCGGGGACTGCCTGTAAATGATGATTTGTGGTGGAGAGTGATTCTGTTGACAAGGGGATAGCAGATGTTAACATTGCTGTCTGTAGAAATAATGTGTCTTTTGACTTCAAGGTACTTAAAAGATTTCAGAAAACTCTAGTGATCAGCAAGATGAACGTGGATTTTGTTTTTCTTTTTTAATTATAAGCTGATCTGATCCTCTTGTAATGGGAGCATGGTGGCAGCCTAACCTAGGGAGAGTCTAACTCCTGTCTATAATAAACCACAAACAGCTGCAGACCTTGTCCCGCAGTGTGCCTTTACAACTTGAATTAAAGAAAGAACTCTCTTAGTTGTGGCTGCGTCTACACTGCAGCCTTCTTAGGAAGAATGGCTCTTGCGCAAGAGAGGTTTTTTGTGCAAAAAGGAGTCCTCTACACAGCTCCTTTTTGCGCAAAAGCCTCTTGCGCAAAAATGGCTTCTAATTAATTATGCAAATGAAGCGTGGTGATATTCTACTCCGTGCTTCATTTGCAGAAGAAGGCTGCAGTATAGACATAGCCTGTGAGTTGCAGAAAGACCTTTATGTGCTTTCCCAATATTGTGGGCCTCCTAATCAATAGTGCCACAGAGTACATGAGGTTGGCTGAGAGCCTACAATGAAAGGGGACTGGAGATCAGCATTTGTTGGGAGGCATAAATTACAAATGGAGGGAAACTTTGGAATTTGGTCAAGTGGGTGCCTGCAGTGAAAGGAGGATAGATAGTGAAATCATGTGGGACAAAGGACAGGTGTTCAGTTGAAATAGTGGTTATGAATTGGGCCAATCCATGTTTTTGGAGCAGCAGACACTATGGGGAAGAGAACTGGCATTGGAAAAATACATAGATGAATCAGAGGCTATTTCTCTAAAGTGAAATTTGTTTGGAAGATGGGTGAAGATTCCGACTGGCTTTTGTTTTCACAAAACATAGACATTAGACATTGAAAAGTTCTCTCCCTCACGCCATATAGCATTACTGTATACAATACAATAGCTTGTGAGTTTTTTCCAGTCCAGTTTTTCATGTCCTCACTGAAGAGGCTTCCAGCACTTAGTTTGGGAGACTATTATGTTGCCAAATATTTGGAATTTTTTGTTTGAGAAATCACTGCAAAATGTTAGAATACTAACTTTTGAATAATTGCTACCTGAATGAATTGTAATTGATTGTAATTAAATATCTAACCTAATTTTTCATTTTCTAAGGATCCACCAATGGCAGTGACACTGGGCCTGCGAATGGAAGAAATGATTTTTAATCTCGCTGATACACATTTATTCTTTAATGACTTGGAGGTAAGAATCTAAAGAATGTAACATTGACTGTTTCATCCCAGAGCATGACACCAGTGATTTGTTACATATTAGTATTTTTCACTTGGACATTATTTTGAGGTTGGTCGGTCTAACAGAACAATCAGAGTCAGTCATACTGCAATAATTTTCTCTAGCATCAGCGTATTTATCTGAAGAGCAGGGAACATCCTCAATGTGTTGCCTCTGTCCATTACAGTAGCTCTTTGCGCACTGCTTGTTTTTCTGATGCTGCAGATTTGTCTGTCTACAATGTACTCCTGAGAAGAGACCCCACTTACCTTCCACCTCTTTTCTCTCAACTGAAGTGGTCACTTTTTGCCTCCAAATGATATATGAACAGACGAGTTTGATGTCCTCCTCTTAAACTCCCCTTTTGGGGCCTGCCTTGTGACTTTCTCATGTTTTCAGGGTTAAGAGCCACCCTTTCTTTTCAAGAAAGAAGGAGAGTTCTCATTATTCTACTCAAGCTCTCTCATCAGCAAGTTATGATCATAACGACAGACTTTTAGTCCTAAACAATCTAGGCATAATCATCATTCATATCTCTAAAGAAATAGAAATTGAGACCCCTAAGATGCCTCCAGCTCTCCAGTTTCAAAAACTTTGATTTTGAGATAAGAAAACTCAGGGGCAAATTATTTTTTCCCATTCTCTGAAGAGTATTGTGGGGTTATGGTTGAAGACTCCAGACAAGAAAGGTGTCAGTAAAATATAGTACAGTTGTACATATATAAAAAGAAAAGCCTATGACTATTTCATTAACAGAATATCCCATTTCCTTCCCCTCAGCTAATACAACAGATAGACTTTACTAAACCTTGTTCAAAAAGCTTCTGGATCCACTTTAGGTTTATTTTTAGTCCAAAAGAAAATTGGGAGTTTTCAGACTACCCTTTACCATTTTCATAGATCATCTGTACTGTCAGAAAAAGTTGTAAAAAGAATAATGAGCCTCAGTCTCTTAATCCAGGTGTCTCTCAAGGAGGTTCAAATCCTTTATTCACTCATTCAAATTCTTCCACTTATGAGTTCATTGTCAACATGTTTAATTCATAGCCCTTTATTCTCAATGTCATCACCCTACTAAACATGTTCCACCATACCCATCAGCAATACTATTTAAACACTGTGTGCCTCTCACGGAGTCTAGTTCTGATATTATGGAATGTAACCACCTCACAGTTGTTGGGAGTTTTTTTTCTGAATAGGCATACAGAAGACTACAGATCCGCTTCTAATTTGGATCAGCATACCTTCCCCAGGTAGACATTTTTACCACCGGTTAAAACCAAAATTGACAATGTTTTGCTTCAAATTCTGGGAGAAAAGACTTGATGAATGGATGGATTTTCCTTCCACTGGGGGGTGAGGTTTCTTGTAATAGTCACTTCCTTGGTTCCACGGCCAATAAGAAAATTAAGAGGAACCATGCTGATGTAGTCTTCATTGTCCCAAGCTCAGATCATTCCCCTTACCCTCAACCTTTTGTCCCAAGATCGGTCCTTCACCTGAGCTTTACCTCTTTTCTCTAGCAGTGTGAAATGTGAGAACTGAAACCCTGGCTATTCCTCAGGTAGTGCATCTTTTATTGCAGTCTTAATGAGATATCACTTGACCATGTAAAAGCATGTGATCAATATTCTTCTTCTGGTGCCCAGAGAAAAGGATAGATTCTAAATCAATTTTTCAAAGCATTGGTTAGGTTCTCTTTGTAATGAACTTTTGTCCTAGCATGCTCAGATTTCAAGTGGCAGCTATAAGAACCCTCTTTTAGCATGTGCCCCGGTTTCTTCAGTCTGATGCTGTGTTCAAGGCACCAGTCAGCTCCCTCTTCCAAAGTGGAACTTCATCTTCATGCTGTATTGGCTTTGTTGTTTTCTCTGTGAGCCATTCACCAAAGCTTTGCTTAGTTTCGTTTCTCACCAATGAAGTTGTCATCTTTAGAGATGTGTCAGCGTATAGATTTAGCAAACAGGGTAATTTCTACTTAGGAATACCACTTCCTCTTTTTTCTTACTAAGGTTTTATATACAGGCAGTCCCCAGGTTACATACAAGATAGGGACTGTAGGTTTGTTCTTAAGTTGAATCTGTATGTAAGTCGGAACTGGCATCAGCTGCTGCTGAAACTGATCAGTTTCAACCACGGATGAATCTGGACGCCAGTTCTGACTTACATACAGATTCAACATAAGAAACCCAGGCGTCCCCAAGTCAGCTGCTGCTGAAACTGATCAGCGGCTGATTCCAGGAAGCCCGGAGCAGGGGCTTCCTGTAGTCAGCCACTGGTCATTTTCAGCAGCTGCTGACTTGGGGACACCTGGGGCAGAGCCGCCGGGGGGG